GAACATTTACTGAGATATATGGGATCTAGATCTGCACTGACAAAGATGGCACCCATATCAATCAAATCACAGAGCCATTAAGTATTATTGAAATACAATTAGAAAGATCCCAGCATAGCAAACAGGATTTTTTTTTTTTTGCTTTAGAGACTCCCTCTCTCAGGGACAACTGCCAAATGCTCTTAATTTTTGGCATTAGCTTGCACATCTTCCCTAAACAAAAAAACTGTTGGGATTCTGAAAGATTACATATTAACTTTCATATTCTGCGCGCTACACCTTACATACCCCTAAAGGGCCTAGCACAGTGCTGAGCACATGCTATATGTTAAAAGACTAGCTAAACAAACAAATCTCTTTTTAAACTCCAAAGCCCTTTTTAAAACTGGTGACTCCCAAGAGTAAAAAAAATACCCTATTATCAAAGACACTAGTATATTAGGAACACAAGACTTCTCACAAAAGCCTGTGCATGGCAGCATTTTAACAAGTAATGTTTGTCTAACATTTGGCAGGTTGTAAAGCACTTTGTTTATATTATTTTCCCACCTGATCCTTACAACTACCTTGTGAAGTTGATGCAGCTATTGTTTTTACAGGTGAATAGCTAGCTGTTCAGAGTGTCCACGACTCACTCCCTGTCTGTACTCAGCCTTTAAGTGCCAGAGGTGCCTTTGGACCTGACTCCAAATCCAGAGCACTTTCTACCACCCCATACTCACCCGAAGTAACCTCACCCTCCAGTCTGCAAGAGCAACAACACTGTACAGCCCACCACCAGCTCCACTCCTCAGAGCTTTTCATGCACCTAATGATTTAAGGAAATGTTCAGTATGTCTTATTCTGTGAGGGGCCCCCAGACTCACCTGGCCTTAGTTTCCTGCATATAAAATAGGAAACTGATCTAGATGATGACTAAGGTCCCTTTTCAACTTTTTGTTTGTAAAATGTTTTCCTGAAAATAACACTTTCAACCTACAATACAATTAGCATAAAAGGTGTTATTTGCAAGTAATTTGACCCTACAACGGTGTGAAAACCTGATTCATTAGGTGCTAAAACTGAAATTTGCACCTCTCTAATACACTTAGTTACCTGTGTATGCTTATTCCTCAATTACATTTTAAGTTCCATAAAGGCATGGACTGTGCCCTTGTGATCTCATAGATCTTTCCAGATCTAAATGTGATCATATGTTTGTGACATCTCTCTTATTTCTTTTTTTTAAATAGTTTTATTTTTAAATGTATCCTTCTTGAAAATGCCTCAGGGAACTAGTACCAAAACTTAAAAAGTTATTAGAGCAGATAAACCAGAATACTTTTGCAATTTTGAAATATGTTAAAATGCAGTCTTCTAAAATCTCATTCTCTTATAAAAAAAGTTTTTTTGATGGCTTTTGGTTTTACCTCATAGTCATTTCTAAGTATACCAATTGCCCACTCCACTCCTGTGATGAGCCTTCCCTTGTAACAAAGGAAAACAGGTCAGAAAAACCAACCCTACCACAATCACATCTGACAGCACATGCAGTACTGCAACCCAAGGTCTTCCCACCTCTCCAGTGAAAAGGAAGAGGATGCATTTCCATATCTGTTCTTGGAAGCTGAGACTGATCATTATAGTTACAATATGTTCAGCTTTCCTTCACTGAGACAACCATGCCTTGAGGGTCAGAAAAAAAAACAGACTGGTTGTTTGTTTTGTTTTTACTAGGCAAGGAAAAAATGATAAAGAGAAGGCCTGCAGTTCCCCTAGACTTCACATTTGGGAATATTCAACAGTAGCTGAGTTCTCCTAATGGTGTGAAAAGAAACAAACCATCTCCAACACAGCAGTCCAGGTGGAAACAACAAAAGGATTGGTGAGGAGTAGAAATGGAAAGGGTGAGCAGAAAGGGAGATAGAAAGGGGTGGGAGGGAGGACTACCTACCAAGTACTACGGTAAGCACTTTACAGATATTATCTCATTTGATCCTCATAACTACCCTGAAAGGTAGGTATTCCAGCATCCCCATTTTAAAGTTGAGAAAATTAACACAAACAAAGGGTTAAGTGACTTGCCCAGGATCATATAGCTAGTGAACATCTGAGTTCTACCTTGAACTCAGGTCTTTCTGATTCTAGGCCCAGAACTCTATCAACTGCCCAACCTAATTGCCTCAATAACTCAAACTGCACCAAAATCTGATGTCACTGACAAAATTTAATGGCCAGGCAATTTGAATCCTACACCAATTATTACTATAATAAGTCATACTAAAGGAAAAGCAATGTTCCTTACATCCAAGTCACTTGTTACCAACATAGAAGAAGTTGGAATTTGCAAATGTGGAGGCAAAACAATTTCTGGATGCCAGGGCCCATTTCAATTGCCTCTTCCTTTACAACATATACCATCCTAGAAGAACTTTCTCAAGTGTGTGGTGAGCAGTAGGGTATAAGGGAAAGTGCCCTATATTTAAGGATAACTTGGATTCAGCTCCTTGATCGGCCACTTACTAGCAATGTGGCTCTGGGAAAGTCACTTTACCTCTCTAGGCCTCAGTTTCTTAATCTTTAAAATTATGCAGTTGCATTCAGTTCTAGGTTCTCTGAAAACAATTTAGTGGCTCTCTTCAGTCAGGCATGGTATAGTTATTTAAAAAAAAAATCTTCCCAATTAAACCTTTCATTTCAGACGCTGAAGAAGAAAAACAACCATGACCAAAAGAGAAGAAAAAGGAAATGCTGAGTCAGGCAATTCAGCTAATTAGAGTTTCAAGACAAACACAGCATCAACTTTAACATTTAAAATTAAAAAGTTCAAAGATCTTTGAGAAGTGGAGTCCTTCATCCTTTTGATTTGGAGCTTTGCTTTATAATTATCTTTTAAAAAAATCTGAACATTCCTGTTTGAACAATCTCTATTTCTGGTTATTTATTCAGCTTCCCACTGGTGCACATTATGAAACCATATGCTACAAGAATACATCACTTCATATTTGCACACAACAGTTGGAAGACAGTGGCAATTTAGCACCATTCAGACAATATGGAAAAGTCCCCAAAGAATGCAGTTTTAAGGTTAGAAAGTATCTTTTCAATTTATTTTGTGTGGTCATTTCAACAAAATAAAGACAATTAGAGTGCTAACAGGGATAAACAACCCAGAGGCTTTAAGAGAATATTATTAGAAAAAGAATCAACCAAACACTAGAGGCCTTGGAGTCACTTTTTTTTTTTGCTTTTTCGGTGAGGCAATGGGGGTTAAAGCTAGTGAGTGTTATGTGTCTGAGGCCACATTTGAACTCATGTCCTCCTGACTCCAGGGCCAGTGCTCTATCCACCGTGCCACCTGGAAGCCCTGTATCCACTTGTTTTTGATATTACTTATGAGTACTCCTTCCAACAAGCATAAATCACAGCCCCTCTACTCCTTCCCATCCTATATGACCCTTGCCTATAATCTACTAAAAATTTGCCAATGTCCCTAATGGCAACTCATTTTATCCAAATACCATCAAAAAAAAAAAAAACCAAAAAACAAAAACTTATTACCACAATAAGCTTAACTACTTAAGCATGGGATCATACCTGGCCCACTATGGACAATTATGCCTTATAAGAAAGATTTTAGAAATGTTTTCCTTTAAAGAAGACCTCCAGGTTAAAGTCCCAGGGAAGCACATTGTGTGGTTTAATATGAAGAACTAACAATCACTGCTATCCAACAACTGGAAGGTACAGTGGCACACTGGGAAGGGTACCAGACGGAGTCCTGGATTAAAGTCTTGGCATTGTCTCTTACACACTGATTTTGGGTAAGTAGCTTCCCCTCTTTTGTCCTCAGTTTTTTCATCTGGAAAATAAGGTGTTTGGGAAAAATGAACTCTAATATCTATCCACAGGTTCTATGAATCACTGGAGTTATGAGAATCATGACAGTAAAAGTGATCAACTAGCCATAGGAGAACCCCTGTCAAGGACTCTTGTACAGGGGATTACTGATTAGATGCGGTCCTGGAGAAGATGACCAATGTAGCCCCTTTCAACTTTGAAGTCATACAATCCTGTAAAATATAGTTAGATGTAATAACAGTAGTAGTGGTGGTGGTAGTGGTGGTGATAGTAGTAGCAGCAGCTAGCATTTATATAGTGCTTTAAGGTTTGCAAACTATAATTTGTGAGGCTCATTTGATCCTCACAAAAGCTCTGGCAGGTAGGTGCTATTATTATCCCCATTTTACAGATGAGGAAACTGAGGCAAAGTGGTTACATGATTTGCCTAGAGTCACAGAACTAGTAAGTGTCTGAGGCTGGATTTGAACTCAGGTCTTCCTGATTCCAGGTCCAATACTCTATCCACCGTGACACAGAGCTGCCGGAGTGAGGGGCGGCAGAGAAGGGGAGCCATCTCCAGGTGTTCTGATCTGTATTTTGCCATTGGACCCAGACGGCTCTGGAGGGGAAAGTGAGGCTGGGGACCCTGCTCAGCCCTCCCTCACTTAAATCCAATTCACTTGCGACTGTTGGCATCACCTTCCTGATGCCACGGTACTCTTCAAGAATGAAGGACAAACAACAACAACAGCTCCCTGGCATAATATGTTAATTAGTGGCAAAAAATCACAAATATAGGGGGGAACACTATAAGAAAAATGTGGTTTAACTTTAAAGAAGCAGATCAATCACTAGAATTTCCAGACACTCCTGTATTCAAGAAAAGAAAAACACCAAGTATCACCAAATTTATTGGAGATTTAATAAGAATAAGATGTAACAATGGGTGATAAACAGCTCACAATGACTTCGTCCCTCAGAAGCTATTAAAAGAAGTTCAAACACCATGATGGGATGGGGGGAAACAGGAAGGGAGGGAGAGATACTTTAACATCTTACAAGGTCAAGAAGCTCATAGGACGAAAAGCCCTTAGTCAGAGTGCTTGGATGTTTACATTGATAGAATAGCGAGGGAAAGAGTCCAGAAAGATGCAATCCAAAAGATCAGCCCAACGCACCTGAGCATGAGATTCATCAGCTGGAGACCTTCTCCCTTCAAGAAACGCTCACGATTTGAACTAAGCATTAAACAGGAACAGAGTGAATCAAACAAGTTCTCCATCATTTCCTGCTCTTCTGCTGTACCAGGATTGTGCCGTTTAAATACCTGCAATTCCAAACAGCAGCAGAGACTTCATGCTCATAAAGAATTTCTTTTAGTAAATAACCATGAATGCTGCTTTAAGTTAGTCTCTTTCACATGCATGGCTCCGCAGCTTGATCATCTGAATCTACCACTTGCTATTAACTAATTTCCATTTGAGAGAAACTGATCCTTATATTCTTTTGCCCACTGGTTAGAAATAACCAGTGGAAAAACTGAATAATGTATGAACATCCATATGATCTACTACAGCTAAATCTAATCTGAGAGGAATTTGACTAAGCACCTTCCAAAACTGTGAAATTTATGGATATTTAGCAGTTCTCTCCTCAGAATGAAGCCAAGTCACTTATGTTGCCAGCACCAAAAATGGAGCTGTATGCAAACTCCCAAGGAAAACCCAGCAACTCCCCAATAACCACAATATTTCATCCAAAAGATCTTTTAAGTTCTGTTTTCAGAGTAGCTCAGATGAGACTTGCCAGAAGAAATCTTGCCAGTATTTGAGAACTACTAGTTCAGAGGCTGTCAGAGTACCAATGTTTCAACTGTCTTTCTTGCCTAACTATTTACAGAGGGTAATCACCAACTTATAATACCATTCTCCAAATACTATTCTTTCCCTACATCCCAACCCAGGCCATTTCCAAAAGTTTGAAATCCGCTCCTCTCTCACCAGAACTTTTAAGTACTTTGCATCAATAGAATCCATCTTGGTGAGAAAGAAGGGTTGGAAATATGAAAATCAGATAATGTGGTATCTCAGCCAGATATTTTGGGAGGTGAGATACACCCTTTTTTGGTGCATAAGCTGCCTAGCATATAATAATCAAAACGAAATACAGGGAAGCAAGTATAGCTTAGAGAGCAAATGGCTCCAGAGGTAGAGGCAAACCACGTGCCTCCAATGGGACTGCAGCAAACAACCTCTGGCCTGCCAACTCATCTCCAAACCTGTTTATATCACATGTCATAAATCTCCTGCCACTATTGCCCCACCTCTCATTTAAACTAGGCTGTGTATCTTAATGGCAGGTAGGAAGCATGAGAATTACTCACAGATAACTGCTGAAGAAGCACATCGATTCCATCCAGTTCCCCAAGCAATTCCCTGTTGTCTAAAAAGGAAAAAAAAAATGGGAGAAAAAAAATGAAGCTAACTGTCAGATTTTACAGCCGTCTAACACTGATACATCAGCAAACAAAATCAATACAGCTTGACAGGGTACAAAGCTGCAGAGAGAGCAAGAGAAAAAGCAAAGGGGACACCAAAGACAGGCGAACACAGTCATGATCTGAAACAAGCCTTGCTCCTAACCTAACAGAATATCAATATGGCGGGGGTGGGATGACACCTTACCATCATTATCCTGGAGCAGAATGGCTAGCACCTCACTGCAGTAGAGCTTGTTGGCATCAAAAGGCATTTTTGCCTGTTGGGAAATACAGTAAATGAGAAAATCATAATTGGGATATCAAGGCAACAGAATGAGTTTTTACATAACTGCCAAAATCAAGGCTTGGAATAAGAAAAGGAAGAGAGATTTTAAGGGCCAAAGAAATGGCCACCACTGCATCACCTTTCACTATGCATCCAATGCTACATGATTAAATCCATGAATGATGAAGAGACTAATATTCCAGAATAGGGTTTCGATGGGCATGAGGTCAGGGTTAGGGGGAAAGAGAATAGCATTTAATAGGCCAGAATGAAGATGACATCAGTCACTAAAAGGCATTGAGGCCACGGCTCACACGTGATTCCTTTCTGGGCACCCTGGAGCTCTTTAAGATCACTAATGTCCATATGACTTGAGTGCTTAAAAACCTCAGCACTTTCATTAGTATAGGTGCTCCTTCCTCCATACCTTAACAAGTGATGTTGATGAACTGTGAAGGCCAAAAAAAATAAAAATCACCTGACAGTCAAACTTCTTGGGATGAGCTTCTCTGCATTTAGCTAAGCTAGACTCCTTGGATAAAAGACACTCAGCCCACCAGACCCACTGAAGCCCTTTCGTTTACCCTCAGCAACACAGGGTCACTCCCAAATGACAATAAATTGGAATAGCACTGTAGTAGAGAAATGCCTGTATCAGCATACAACATATATTCTGTATTGTAAGCAATTAAAAATACTTTTTATTCATTCATTCATTTATTCTACTGGGCATATAAGAATTAGATCTATTTGGCCTTCATCATATAACTTAATACCACTCCTCTAGGGCAAATCAGAAAAGTATTAATTCTCACAGATCTGGAGGGACTATGGAAAGAGAGAACCAAAACAATAATATGATTAGCCAAACAATCAACAAGAATTTATTAATCACTATGTGGCAGGCACTATGCTAGATCCCAGGGATACAAAGACAAAAAAGGAAATCATCCCTCCACTCAAGGAGTTTACATTTTATTGGCATAGAAAACATGTACATATAAGTATATACAGAATGAATATACGGAGAATAAAAATGGCTGAGCAAATTGTGTTATATGAATATGATGCAACACTATTCTGCTGTAAGAAATGAGGAAACATGATTTCAAAGAGAGATGGAAAGACTTGCATGAACTGATATGGAATGAACTAAGCAGAACCAGAAAACCAATTTATACTCTATTATATTATAAATATTATAATATGTTCATTATAAAAGGGAACAATTTTGAACTTTTATAAACTAATGAAGAATGAAGTAGGCAGAACAAGAAAAATAATTTATAAAACAACAACACTAAAAACAAACAACTTTGAAAGTTGTAAGAACTATAATTAATGCAATGACTACCTATGATTTCAGAGGACGGATGATGAAATGTGCTATTCATCTCCTGACAGAGAGGTGATGGACTAAGGGTGCAGAATGAAACATATATATTTATTTTTTCCATATGGGGCCAAGAAAGACATTTATCTATTTTTTTAATGGGGTGGGAAGGTGGGATGGAGAAAAAACAGATTTCTATTAATAAAAAAATAAACTTCAATAAAAAATACAAAATAAAGACAAGTTAGGGAGGGCAACAGCAGTTGGGATTGGGGAAGTATCAGGAAAAGCACTGGTTGAGAGGTATTTGAGGAGTGTCTTTAAGGTAACTATGAGGTAGAGGTGGAGAGGGAATGCATTTCAGATATGAGAGACAGCTAGTGCAAAGACATGGGAGGTGAAAGATGGAACACCAAATGTGAAGAACAAAGAGAAGAACAAGGAGCAGCTAGGTGGTGCAGTAGATGGAGCACCAGCCGTGGAGTCAGGAGGACCTGAGTTCAAAGGTGGCCTCAGACACATGATTCCTAGCTGTGTGACTCTGGACAAGTCACTTAACCCGAGTGGCCTCACTGAGAGAGAGACAGAGAGAGACAGAGAGAGAGAAAAGAACGGTTTAGCTTGAATGCAGATGGGAATTTAATGTTAGGTTGGAACCAAGTCTAAAAGATATTAAAAAACCTAGGTTAGTGACTGTAAAGATAGTGGTACCTTCTATAGTAAGTAGAAGTAAAAAAGAAAGGAGGTATTGAAAGGAAAAGGTAAGTTCTGTTTTAGACATATTGATTTTAAGACATCTATAGGACAACCAGTTTGAGATGTCTAATAGGCAGTTAAGGCTACTGATCTAAGAATAATCTGCATGGTGATAACTGAAACCATAGGAGCTGATGAGATCACTAAATGAAATCGTATAGAGAACCCAAAACAGAGCACTGTGAGACATCCACAGTTAGTGAGCATGACTACAACAGAGATCCAGCAAAGCAGACAGAGAAGCAGTGGTCAGACAGGTAAGAGAAGAACCAAGAATGACAATGTGACCTAGGGAGACAAGAGTATCAAAGAGTAGAGGTAGATCAACAATATCAAAAGCTGCAGAGGTCAAAGAGAGAAAAGGCCTTAGCAATTTAGCAATTTAAGGAAACTGGAGAGAGCAATTTTGTTTAAATCATTAGTTTGGAAGCACACTGCAAAGAGTAAAAAAGAGAGTGAATGGAGTGGAAACACCTATTGTAGACAGCTTTCTCAAGAAGTTCAGCCACAAAAAGGATTATAACTAACAGGGATAGATGGATGAGGGGTTTTTGAGGATGTGGGAGACAACATGGTAGACAACACAGAAGTAGCCAGTAGACCATGAGCAATTGAAGATAAGTGAGAGAGTGTGGATGCCAGAGGAGGCAATGTGTTGAAGAAGATGGGATGGAATGGGATTGTGTGTATAGGTAGAGGGGTTTGCCTTGGCAAGAAGAAGAGCCACCTCTTCATGTGAAATGGGGTGAAGGAGACAGTGGCAGAAGGCAGAAGGCAAGGGGAGTTGGGGGGATTTAAGGAAGGATAAAAAGGTCTGGAAAAGTCACTGTGGTGAGAAGGATAGTGAATTAAATAGGAAAGTATAAAAGGTGTAAAAAGATTGCCTTGCTGCAGTGAGGGCCCAGTTGAGATTTTGTAACTTATATTAGCAGTGGACCAGTCAGCACAATTTTGTGATTTTCTCCAGCTTCATTTGAGAGCAAATGAGAAAGAGCTAAAACAGAGAGTAATATAAGGCAGGGGGTTGGAAAGGCAAGATCTTTGAAAGATTGAACTGGCTGAAGTGCCAAGATAGAGAAGGGAAGAGAGTATAGCCAGTGCAGAATAAAGGGCCTGAAGAAAAAGTAAGGGGTGGAGAGATTGGAGGTTGTAGTGAGGAGAAAGAACAGGGTTTGAAGTTGAAAGGCAGAAGGAGAGGTAAAGTAAAAACAGATTGTTATCAGATAAAGGAATTTCAGATATCATGAACATGATTGTGGAACATTTTAGATAATGGCAAGATCAAGCATATGACCATCTCTGTGTATAAATGTGGTGGGGTGGAGGAGTAGGTCGTGGGAAATGAGTAAGTTGGGAAGTTAGGTACATGAGGGAAAATCACTATGTAAGCTGAAGATCCCCAGTATTAGCACAGGAGAGAAACACTATGGGCCAAGCACTGAATTCACTGCAGAAGGTAGGAAAATGTCCTGGAAATCTATGACAAACAGTTACCAGAATCCTGTCTGGATGATAAATATGAATTGAAGGAATCTCAAGAGGCAAGGATACTGAATGATAGTGGTAAAGGGAAAGTCTAAAAGTGGCAAAGAGGAGCAAGGAGTAATCCAACTCTACTACCACAACCAGGAGGTTGTGGAGTAGTCTGGAAGAGGGCAACACAGCCTGTGAGGCTGCAGGTGATCAGAGAAGGCGAGAAACTGAAGATTAGAAGGGGGAGGAGATGAATGAGAGAATTCAAGTTGGTACTCTCTCCTGTAAAAAAAACACAGAAAAGGTAGTAAAAACGGCCAACAAAGTCTAAGGCTCAACAACTTCGGGTCAAGTATGAAAGCTACTAGACCACAAAACTAGACTACAAATTAGTTAACAAGTTAGCTGTGTTGAAAGAAAAGCATTTTAATTAGTTTGATGAGTTTCACTAAAAATACTTATAAAGGACAAAATGATTCCTTTTGGGAAAAAAAATTTTAATGCTCAGAATTTAATTTGAAAATATAAATCTATCACATCCTAAACTATAATCTTCCTACTTAAAAAGAAACGGCATGAAATATGCAAAAATGTGTTAATATTTTAAAAGCCAAATTGCTACCCACAACTCTTTTTCTAAAGCATATATATATGTATGTGTGTGTGTGTGTGTGTGTGTGTGTGTGTGTGTGTTCACCCAAAGAGTTTAAATGAGGACATGTCTATTGCAAAGATTCATCTGTTTTGAAATTACTTCGATCTATACTGTTATAATCCAAGAACTAAACATCTCACTATTATAAAAACAAGAAATTGCAGAACTTGATAAAGCTGCAGAACTGAGTAAGCTTCACCAGTGTTCTACAATTTCTGGTACCCATGGTCCTTTAAATGGAGCTGTCTCTGGGATGGGACATGACAGCTAATCTGAAGTAATCTTGATTCTTCCCCTTTCCAGTTTTCTATAACTGAAAATGGTGAGGGAAGTGATCACCTCAGGGACAGCTCAGTCCCTGTTCAGTCATTTTTCATTCATGGCCAACTCTTCATAACCCCATTTGGGTTTCCATGGCAAAGATACTGTTTTTCCTTCTTCAACTCATTTTACAGATGAGAAAACTGAGGCAAACAGGGTTAAGTGACTTGCCCAGGGTCATACAGCTAGCAAGTGCCTTAAGACCAGATTTGAAATCAGGCCTTCCTGACTCCAGACCAGGCACTCTACAAGCTTAATGCTGTTCAAAACTCAAGGTTCAATAACTGATTTTATATTAAGAAGAAATGTTCCATCCTTGCACCTACTCCACCAAAAATCCCACATCCTGTCCCTCTTTAGTATTCTTAACACACTTTCTATATCAAGTACAAGTGTACCCCACTGAGTTTTCAGTAGGCTGAATATGAGTGACCCAGCTTAACTTAAGAGATCCATAAAACTGAAGGCTGACGTGGATTGACTACAAGGTATAGATCCCTGGGTGAGCATATAACTTTGCACCAGGAAATTTTTAAAAACCTAAATTCAATTTGAGATATGCCTTCAAGAGAATCTGATTTCTAACAAAAAGTTGAAACTTATATAAACTGAATTACTCACAATTTCCTGAACACATACCATGTTACAAATTCTTACCCTCTTGACTTCTGGATCCCTGTTCTCTACTCCTGGAATATTCTCCCCAGCACATCGACCCATTGAAATATCACTCACATTTTTGGGGCCAAACAAAATTCTACATCCATCAAGAAGCCTTCTCTTATTCCCCAAGCCAGAAATTATCTCATCCTCCTATAACTCTATAATACTCTGTAGCTCTTAACTATATTCTACCCAGATCAAGATTATGTGTACACACTTAATTTCCCCAACCATACCATAACCTTCTCGAAAGAAAGGGCAATCTACTTAAGTAACAGGCAGCTTGATATTGTGGAATGAGGGTTAACTTGGTTAACATGTTCAAAGTTGTGCGTGACTCTGGGCAAATCACTATCTCTTCAACAGATACACAGGTAAGTCAAGTGCTCTAGGGAATCTTGAGGGGGAGGAGGAAGGGCAAGGTGGGAAGTAGAATGAGGGAAGCCTATCCAAAGAGGTGGTACTTTAGCTGAGCCTTAAAGGAAGAAAATTATTCTGAAAAGGCAGGTGAGGAAGGAATATATTCCATGCCCTTTGGCACAAATGCACAGAACAGAGGACAGTATAAAAAGTTCAGAAATAGTTGTGAGGTTTATTTTGGCTAAAACACAGAGTACATATGTATAGCCTATATCGGAGTGCATGCTCTCTTGGGGAACAGGGAGGGAAGGAAGGCAGAAGGGGGATTTAGAACTCAATAATCTTATAAAAGTGAATGTTGAAAACTAAAAATAAATATTTTTTAAAATGAAAAAAAATTTTAAAAAACAGTACATGAAGGAGAGTAATGTGAAATAAAGCTATAAGATAGGCTGGAACAAGATTGTAAAGGTTCTTGGGTGTCAAACTAAGGAATCTGCATTCACTTTGCAAGCAACAGGGAGACACACTGATGACTTCTGAGCAGGAGAGTGACATGGTCATTAAGCCCTGGGTAAATTATTCTGGAACTTCTCTAATAGACCAGAGGCAGGAAAACCAGTTAGTTAGGAGGCTAGTCCTGAGGAAAGATAATGATAGTCTTAAAAAAATAAATAACAATTAAGAAGAGATGGATGAGAGAGATGTGGAGGCAGAATCCAAAAGACTCAGCAACTGATTATATATGGAAGGTGAAGAAAAGGGGAACAGTCTAATAGACTGAGATTCTCAGTTACTCTAATGATGGTAGTGAATCAAAAGAAATAGGAAAACACAGCAAAATGGAGTTTGGGGGAAGATAAACAATTCAGTTTTGCACATGTAGTGTTTGACGTGCTAGGAAAAGATTCTGGTGGAGATGGCCAGCAGACACTTGGAGATGCAGGACTTCAATTAAGAAGAGAGATGAGAGGCCGCTAGGTGGCGCAGTGGATAGAGCACCAGCCCTGAAGTCAGGAGGACCTGAGTTCAAATCCGACCACAGACCAAACACTTGACACTAGCTGTGTGACCCTGGGCAAGTCACTTAATCCCAATTGCCTAAGAGGGGCAGGGGGAAAAAAGAGGAGAGATGAGAGTTGAATATAGAGATTTTCGAGACATTTGCCTAAAAGTGATAACTCAACCAATGGGAGTAGTTCTCCAAGAAAGAATGAAGAAAGAGAAGCGACCCAGGACAGCATGGTTGGACACTCAAACTAAGGGGTAGGGAACTAGACTATAATTTGGCAAAGGAGAATGAGAAGGAATATTAAGATAGGGAGATAGGTGAATGAGTAAAGAATATTATCAGTGAAGACATAAAAAGAGGGTATCTAAGGTAGTCAACAGCATTGAAAATGGTAGAAAAGCCAAGAATGATTAAGGATCAAGAAAGGGTCATTGGATTTAAGAATGATAACAGCTAATTACCTTAGAAGAGTATTGGCTGTGGTGGAGTTAGAAGACAAATTGTGAGATACTTTACATCAAGATTTTCAGCTACTATTTGATGACACTCTGAGACTTCTTCAGTGATTTCACCACTGATTGCTGTAATTTTTTTTCTGGCTTTTTATTTTTTAAAATAAATTTTTATTGACGCTGCTTTTTTTTACATCATCATAATTTTCCCCAGTATCTCTCCCCCTCTTCATGCTAGAGCCACCCTACATAACAAACAGCATTTTTAAAGCAAAAAAAAGGAAGTGCAATTTATCTATACATCAAAAAAAATCTGAAAATATTACACAATGTACAACACTCATGGACCTCCCCCTCTTCACAGGGCGAGGGTGGGAGTGTCTTCTTATATCTGTTAAGTCATATTTTCTTTACAATTCTGAAACATTCACTTTTGATTTTTTGTGTGTGCTTGTTCTTGTTTATATTACTGTAGTCATTATGTTTATTGTTTCCTTGACTTTACATACTTCACTCTGCATCAGTTCAGCTAGGTCTTTCATCCTTCTCTATGTCTGTCACGTTTGTCATTTCTTATAGCACAATAGTGTTCCATTTATTCACATTAGCACAGTTTGTTTAGCCATTCCCCAAATGATGGGTATCTACTTTGTTTCCCATTCCTGGCTATCACAAAAAGTACTGCTGTAAATACTTTGGTGCATACAGGGACTTTCTTCTTATCAATGTCCTCCTTGGGGAATATACTTAGTAATGGAATCTGGGCCAAAGAGTATGGACATTTCAGTCACTTTATTTGCCAAATTCCAAACTGCTTTCCAAAATGGTTGTACTGATTCACAGTTCCACCAACAATACGCTAGTGTGCCTATCTTCCCATAATCCATCCAACATCGATATCTTACCTTTTGTTATCTTAGCCAAATTGCAGGTTATAAGGTACAGTGTTTTGATTTGCTTTTTTCTCTTACTGCTAGTGATATGGAGCATTCTTTCATATAGTTGTTAATAATTTACATTCACTATTTGTTCATATCTTTTGGGAATGGTTTATCTATTAGGAAATGGCTTTTGGATGGATAGAGAGATAGATAGGTACATATTTCATTTCCAACCAGGCTACATGATCCAGAAACTTCTTCATTTTGAAAGATCACTTCAGCCCTGAGACTTATACCTTGGAAGTATCCTCTCTTCTTCTGCAGCTTCTCCCTCTGCTTGGAAGGCTCCTCCAAAAATCTCCATTTAGGCAGGGAACCCAGGCCAGCCACCTCTTCATTTCTTAGCAGGCTGCACTCCTCTGCATTCTCCACTATGCCTCCCTATCCAGGAACTTTCTCCCTCCCTGCCTTCCTTTTCAGCTTCCTTTTATGTGTTTACTTCCCCATGAGTAGGAACTGACTTTCTTCTTGCTTTAATTTGTATTTCCTGGGTTTACTAATGTGCCTGGAACAGAGTAAGAGCTTAATAAATGCTTATTATATATAAGCTGTTAAAGTTTAAAGCCACACTAAGCCATCTGTGATACTACGTATATAACTGTTAATTGTTTACATATCTTGGATAATAAACTCTTATCAGAGCACTAAGATACAAAGATTTTTTTCTCTATTCTATCATTTCCCTTTTTATCCTAGGTACATTAATTTTGTTTCTATGAAAGCTTTTCAGGTTTCATGTAATCAAAGTTATCTATTTTATCTTCGTTAATTGCTGCTATCCCTTATTTGGTTAAGAATATATTTCTTACCTATAGCTATGAGAGGCATATGATCTGATTCTCTTCTAATTATTTTTAAGATATAATTCCTAAACACTAGATAGACCAGAACCAAAGAATACCTTGAGGGTCAAACTTGTGTCAAATTGACCCAGTGAATTTTTTTTTTATTCTTAAGTCACAGAAAATAGGATGAAAATGTTTATTTAAAGTAAAATTAAAGCTTTTGCATCAATTGATATGACTTGTTCTTCCATCGTTAATATTAAAGTCATTTATCTATTTAGAATGTATTGTGGAATATAGTGAATGGTGTAGCCCTAATTTTTGCCAGATTGCTGTTTGGTTTTCCTCAAAGTCATTCTTTTTTTTTTTTTTGCTTAGGCAATTGTGGTTAAGTGGCTTGCCCAGGGTCACACAGCTAGCGTCATATATCTGAGACTGGGTTTGAACCCACATCCTCCTAACTCCAAGGCTGGAGCTCTATCCACTGTGACACCTAGCTGCCCCTCTCAAAGTCATTCTTAAAACAATATTGCTGTGACTGTATACAATGTTCTCTTGGTTCTCATTTTGCTTTTCATTATTTCGTGCAAGTCTTTCAATGTTTTCTGAAGATCACTGAGCTCATCATTTCTTATATCACAATAGTATTCCATCATCATCATATACCACAACTTGTTCAGCCATTCCAATTGTTGCCGTAGTTTTTAGCAAACGGAATTTTTCCTAAGTAAGTTATGCTTTCTGGTTTATCAAACAGTATGTAGTTGAGTTCCATTGCCTCTGATTTTCCTTATCTAATCTGTTCCATTAATCTATTTCTCTATTTTTCAAACTCATATCAGATGGCTTTGATGACTTCTGCTTTATAATAGTTAAGAGATCTCAAAGTGATTATCCCCTTTATCCCTACCTCTTTTCATTACTTCCCTAGATATTTTAGAACTTTTATTTTTCCAAATGAATTTTGATATTATTTTACCAAGTTCTGTTAAATATCCTTTTAATAAGTTAATTATTATAGCATTAAAATATAAATTAACTTTGACAGTATTACCATTTTTATTATATTGGCATGGCCCAGCCATATACACTGAATATTCTCCTAGCTATTTAAATTGTTCTTTATTTCTTTAAAGAACACTCTGTAACTGAATCCAAATAAGTATTTTCTGTGCTTTCCTAGATATTCTGATCCCCAGATATTTTATGCATTTTATAGTTATCTGGAATGGGATTTCCCTTTCTAGTATAGCTTCTTGGTTTTTGTTATTATAATATAGATATGTTGTTCATTTTTGAGGATTTATTTTATAATTGAAACATTGCATGAAGCTATTTTCTCAATTAGCATCTTTTCTGATTACCTAAGATTTTCTAAGTAAACTATCATATTATCAGTAAAAAGATGTAGTTTTATCTGTTCTTTTTCTATCTTTATTTCTTTTTCTTCTCTTATTTCCAATGACAGCATTTCTAGAACTGAATCAAATAACAGTGGAGAGAATGGGAATTCTTACCTTAATCCAGTATTGGGAAAGATTCTAATGTATCTCCATTGCATGTGACAGTCCTCCTCTACTGAATCCCAAACCCCCTTATCATATGGCCGATCATGCCCACTCAAACCTCAGCCTTGGATCACTTCCACCATTTGTTGCCTTCTAGGCTACATATGTGCTGCTGAACGAAGATGGAGAAAATCATACATTTGTTCTGACTGGGTTCACTACAAATTTATGTTACGTAACTTCAATAGACCCTCACTGCTGCTTGGCAATCCTACTATACCTCCCTTATCAACTCATTATCCCACTCTCCACAGTGGCTCTTCTAAAACTTTTCATCTCTCCTCAAAGCTCTAATGGCTCACCCTCTTCCACACTCTCTCAGCTGAGAACTTTACTTCATATTTTACAGAAAGAAACTGAAGCCATTCACCATGAACTCCCTTTTCTTCCCTCTTTCTCATCTCCTAACACTCAGGTACATTCTTTTCATTATCTCCTCTTTGACCCCATCTCATATGATAAGTGACTTTACTCCTTACCAAGGCTAACCCCTTTACTTATTCAAGTGATCCCAGTCCATCCTATCTCCTCCAACATATTGTTCCCATCTGTCTCCTCCCTTTCATTTATATTCAATCTCTCCTCTTACAGGGCTCATTTCCTACTGCCTAGAAACATGCCCATGTCTGCTCCATTCTGAAAACTCACTTAATCTTTCCATCCCTGCCAACTATTGTCCTATATCGCTTCTGCCTTTTATAGCTAATTCCTTGAAAAGGCCATCTACATTTTTTTCTCTTCTCATTCTTTTCTTTACCTCCTACATAATTTAGCTTCCGACCTTGTCATTCCACCAAAACTGCTCTCTCCGAAGTTACTATTGATCTCTCTTACTTACCAAATTAATGACCTTTTCTCCATCCTCATTCTCCTTACTCTCTCTGCAGCTTCTGACACTACTGATCACTTCCTCCTCCGTGATAATCTCCTCTCTCTAGGTTTTCAGGATACCACCCCCTCTCTTGGTTCTCCTCCTATTTGAACACTCCTACGCTGTCTCTTTTGCTGAATCCTCCTTCAGATCACACTCTCTAACCATAGGTGTTCCTTCGGGGTCTGTCCTAGCCCTTTTCATTTCTCATTTTATATTATTTCCGTTGGTGATCCCAACAGCTCATGGATTTAATTACCATTTCTATGCTGTGGATTCTCAAATCTATCTTTCTTGACCCAATCTGTCTGCTGACCTCCAATCTTGCATCTCTAATTGCCGTTTTGATATCTCAAACTAAATGTCCAGTAGATATCTTAAACACAATATATCCAAAACAGAACTCACTATCTTTCCACCTAAACCCTTACCCCTCTCCTGTTGCTGTTGTTCAGTCATTTCAGTCTTGTCCAACTCTTTGTGACCCCACTTGGGATTTTCTTGATAAAGATACTGGAGTGGTTTGCCATTTCCTTCTCCAGCTCATTTGGCAGATGAAGAAATTGAGGCAAAAACAGGGTTAAATGACTTGCTTAGAGTCACACAATAGTAAGTGTCTGAAGCCAGACTTGAACTCAAGAAAATGAGCCTTTCTGACTCGAAGCCTGGCACTCTAACCACTGAACCACCCAGCTGGCCCAACCCCTTCCCTATTAGAGTGCAATAATCATCAGTCCCTCAGGCTCACAACCTCGGAGTTATCCTGGATTCTTCACTCACTACATGTCACCACCACTCCCCCATTTCAAGTTATTGCCAAGGCCTACTGATTTCACCTCTGCAACATCTCTTGAATACATCCCCTTCTCTCTTCTGACACTACCATCACTCTAGTACAGGCCCTTATCACCTCACACCTGGATTACCGAAATAGCTTGCAGGTGAGTCTGCCTGCCTCAACTATCTTCTCCCCATATCAATCCATCCTCCATTCAGCTAAAGTGATTTTCCTAAAATACAGATGTGATCATGTCACATATATCCCTAGTCCCTCCCTCATTCAATAAACTCCAGTGGCTTCCTATTGCCTCCAGGAGCAAATATGAAAGGCTCTTTCTGGCATTCATAGCCCTTTCTAAACTAGGCCCTTCCTACCTTTCCAATCTCCTTATAACTTACTTCCCAACATATCCAGGGACATGGATTTCCTGGCTGTTCCAGGAACAAGACACTCTAGCTCTCAGTTCCAGGCATTCTCTCTCCCTGTCTCCATGCCTAGAATGGCTTCCTTCCCTGTTCTGACCACTTACCTCCCTGGCTGCCCTCAAGTTGCAACTAAAATTCCACCTTCTATAGGAAGCCTTTCCCAATCTATCTTAATTCCAGTGCTTTCCTTCTGTTAATTAATTCCTACTTATCCTGTAGGTAGCTTGCTTTGTATATATTTGTTTGCCTGTTGTTTTCCTAATTAGACTGAGCTCCTTGATGGCAGGAACTATCTTTTGCCTCTTTTTGTATTTCTAGTGCTTAGCACAGTACCTGGCATACAGCAGGCACTCAATAAATGTTTGCTGATTGACTGATTTTATTAAATTTAAAAATGTCCTTCTACAGCTATATGTTTTAGTTCATTCATTTACTCATTTCTTTCTTTCTTTTTGGCATGAGTAGGTGTTGTACTTTATCAAAGATATTTTTTCCACATCTATTAAGACAGTCATGTGGTTTTGGATGCTTTCATTTTTAACATGATTGGGTTGACTGTTTTTCTGATGTTGAAATATTTGTGCATGCCTGGTATAAATCCAACATGGTCACAATGAATGATTTCTTGGATACTGTTTGACAGAATTTTATTTAAAAAATTTTAATCAAAAGTCATAATGATAATATATGATAATGATAATGCTTTATCTTTGTCTACATATCAGAACTATATTTGTTGCACAAAAGGATTCTGGCAGAGTGTTTTCACAGTTTTCAAGAATAATTTGTGTAGTATAGGTACTAACTGTTCTTAAGAAGTTTAACAGATCTCCTGTGATTTTATTAGGAATAGGAGTTTTTTCTTTCATTATTTCCTTTATAGCTAGTTCTATTTTCTTTTCTGAGATTGAGTTATTTAAGACTCTAATTGGTCTTTTATTAGTTTGGGTATTTTATATTTTTGAAGGTATTCCTTGATTTCTTCTGTGTTCTCAATTTTGTTAGCATATAACTATGCATAATGAGTTCTGGTAATTCTTTTTTTTTTTGTTTTGTTGCGATTTCATCTGTTCATTTGCTATTTTGTTGATTTCTACTCTCTTTTTAGACAGATTGGCTAAAGGTTCAGTAATTTTGTCAGCCATGTCTAAGAACCAGATTCTTAGTTTCATTTATCATTTCTATGCTGGGTGGGGTTTTTTAGAGGGAAGGGTTTCCTCTTAACTGTTTCTGCTACAATTTTAATATTTCCTATTTTGTGCTTTTAAAGGTTTACTTATTGGGTTTCAAATTTTTTATACAATATTCAGTTCATTAATCTCTTTTTCTATTTTGTTAATGTATGTTTATAGGGATATAAACCTTTTCCCTTGAAGATTATTTTAGCTGCATCCCAGAACTTCTGGTGTGTTGTTTCATAATAACAGCTAATAATATCTAATGTTTATAAAGGGTTTACTATGTGCCAGGCACTGTGCTAAGCGCTTTGATTAGGATCTCATTTGATCCCCACAACAACCCTGGGAGGTAGACGCTAATTATTAACCCCTGTTTTACAGATGACGAAACTGAAGCATAGAGAGATTAAGTGACTTGCCCAGGGTCCACTGCTACTAAGTGTCTGAGGTCATATTTGAACTAAGGTCTTCCTGACTCCAGGCTCTGTCCATTGTGCCTTTCTTTAACTTTACAGAAACAATTTATCCTTTGACCCCACTCATTATTTAGGACATACTGTTAAGTGTCCATTTGGGTCTGCGTATTTTGTTTGTGCTCCCTAACTTGAGTACTATTTTTCTGGCATTAGAGTCTGTAAAGGACAAGTTTACTATTTCTGCCTTTCTACATTTGTTTACAATATCTCTATTCCGATACATGGTCAGTTTTCATAAAAGTTCTATGTGTGGTTGAGAACTACACATAATATTTAGAAGATGTCATAAGTCTTAGTTCTGGCATCTCCAGCAATTTGTTCAGTTCTATAGTTTCCCTACTGCTTATATCTTTATTTATATTTATCCAAAACTGAGAGAGACAGACAGACAGACACTCAGATTTCCTGCCACTGTTTCATTACTATTAATGTCTCTTGTTCATTTTTACTTTGTGGAAATTTTTTCTTTGGGTCATTTCAGCAAATCGTGGTTTCCTTGTTTATCCATTTTTGTTGCAAATACTTGTTTTTGTTTTGTCGGATAATATGACTGCAACTCTCCCTATTTTAGATTTGCTTAATGCAAAGTAATTTTTTCCAGTTCCTCATTCTTATTCTATTTATAGCTTTCTTTTTTTAAACGTATGTCTTATAAGCAACAGCTTGTAGGGTTTTTTTTCCTTATCCAATCTGTCATTCATTTTCATTTTACTAGATTGTTTAAACCATTCACATTTAAAATAGAGTTAGCTCTATATTTTCTCCTGTTTGTCTCTAATTTTCCTCCTCTCTTCCTCTGTAAAGACAGTCCTATGGCTCTTAAGTTATTTTGGATTAAACTACTTTAAGGCAATCCTATCCCTACTGGTTCTCTTCTCACCTTCAAATCACTTCTTTGTTACCCTTCTCTCTAGTTCTGAAATTTTGCTTAACTTAGTGTCTGTCCTCTCTCTTTTTATATCTAGTTACTAATTCTTCTTCCTTTTTTTTTCTCTCAGGTTAAGTATTTGAGTAAATTCCCACCTCCCTTCTCTCCTCCCCTTCAACCTGTTTTACTCATTCGTCTTTTTTTTTTCAATTTTATTTTCTGTACCTTCATGTACTTCATTCACTTCATTATTTCTCTTAGACTTTTTTCTTTGATTCCTGGTACCTATATTTATTTAGCGCTTCTTTAGTTTCTGTGTTTCTAATGGAATTAAAACTTCTAAAGTAGATATTTTGGGTGCCTTATTCTAAATAGTTTCTATATTATAGCTTTCTAGATCTTGCCCACTGCTAATTTTATTCTGTTGTGCTTCATTCTTAGAAATACCAATTCCTGTAGGTTATGAAAAGTATAATGCCCCATTGTTAGGGATTTTCCTATGTTCCTGACTGGGTAGTTTATTATTAACCTTTGCCTTCCCCATGCTAATTTTCCCCTCCATTTTCCTTGAAATCTCCTCCCTAGGTCCATGCAATGTCATAAAATCACAAACAGTGCTAAATGAGCCAACTACAAACCTCCAATGGGCCCTCACTGCTGCAAGGCAATCCTTTCACTGACTGATTCACTATATCACTTACCACAATGACTACTCCAAACCCCTTCATCTTTCCTCAAACTTCCCACAACTCCCCCTCCTACAATCAATCTCTCAGCTGAGAACCTTGCCTCATATGTCACTGAAAAAAAAACTGAGGCCATTCAGAGCACTCCCTCTTCTCTCCTGTTTCTCAGTTCCATGGGCCTTCTACCAGTATTTCCTTCCTCATTTCTGTCTCCTCACTCTCTCCCCATCCATATCCAATATCTTGCCAAGGCCCATACATTTTACTTTTCTAACACCTCCAGCATCATCTACCCCCATCTATACACACACAGAGACACACACACACACACACTCATCTTTCCACTACAATCTTATCATCTTACATCTGGACTAATACAATAGTCTCCTGGTGTGCCTGCCAGAAGTCCTTCCCCACTCTAATCAATCCTCTACTCCGCTGTCAAAGTGATCTTCCTAAAGTACAATGTCACTCCCCTACTCATTAAATTCTAGTGACTCTTACTCACCTCCAGGATCAAATATAAAATCTTGTGTATCTTTCAAAGTCCTTTATAATCTGCCCAACCTCACATATATATCTTTTCAGTCTTCCTACACATTATCTTCCCCCTCTTCCCTGACCACATACTCTGTGACCCAGTAAAACTGATGTCCTTAATGTTACTGAAAGAAGATGTTATATCTCCTGACTCCAGGCATTGTTACTGGCTAGCCTCCATGCCTGGAATGCCCTCCTCTCCTGGCTTCCCTGGTTTCCTTCAAATCTCAGCTAAAATTCCACCTTCTACAGAAAGATCCTCTAATGCCTTTCTTCTGTTGATTATTACTAATTTATCCTCTCTGTTCCTCAGTTCTTTGGATAGGCTTTATTGTAGCACAGAGCGCTGTGGTGCTGCTATCCCAGTCTGAGCAATCATATATATGCCTTTTGGTTTCCAGCCATTGGGAGAGCACTGAGGATGGGATGGTGTTAAATCTTGTTGCAAGCCTATAAGTCAGCTTGTGCAGCCCAGCTACCTGAACACTATGAATGATGGAGGAGAGGATGAAAAGTGAGCATGTTAAGGGATAGGGATTAGCTTTCTCTGCTGTTAGTTCACTGATTTGCTACCTCATTAGGGGTTTTAATGTCCTAGACTGTGGGAACAACTGAAATTGCTTTATATCTTTGCCTATAACTCCTATTTTGGAGAGGTCCGCAAGTTTATGAGGATTGAAGGAAATGTCTAGTCCTCTTACTCTGTTGGTTATGTGAACCATGCTGCTATACGGTTTTAAAACAGCACTGAAAAAATTAAATGTCCATTTACTTTTTGTTGTATGTGTGTTTTTAAATATATACTCATGGAAGCGGTGGGAGAAGTGGAAAGAGCTGTCATGAAATCGAACAATGACAAGGTTCTTCAGCTTCAAAATGGTTGGGAAATGCTATCATAGATAAGAAAAGTGAAACTTGCATTTGAAAAGGGAATAACTGTACTTGAGGATGATAAATCATAACCCCCATCTCCCACCCATTATTTCTCAATATGACATCCTAGCTAGTGGGTGAAGATCAGAAATAAGGAATGTAGCAAAAAAAAAATGTTTTTTTAAATTTAAAGGCAAGGTGGGAGGTAGAATAAGATCATCTTTTCCTGATGTGCTAAAAGCACAGGTTAATACAGAGATTTTATTACTACTTATTTAACAGTCAGAAATGACCATAATTTAGCTTATTTAACACCTAATACCAGTTCCTAAACCATGAAGACATTACGCCAGAAATAGGAAATACAAGGACTTAGTCACAACGGTTTGGATTTTTCCATATTTACCAATGAAATTTTGATTTAAATGGGTCTTATTTGGTCCCCTATCCCCTTTGCTTCCTAGAGTTCTTAAGTCTTGGGGGTGTCATACAAAATAATCAGCAGAGAATAGATTTGCATTGAACATATACTTATCTAGAATAAATTAAATTTCACATTTTTTTGGAAAAGGGAAAGAGATAAAACATTATCATTTTGGGAGAAAGAGACACAAAAATGATGCTACCACCCATCCTCAGAAACTCTTGATTACTCAGACCACAAAGGGCATGTTCAGATACATCTACAGCCCTAGGCTATTGTTGAAACAGATTTTACTTTGTAAAATCCCAGTTCCCAGTATCAGGAGGCTAAGAACATATGACTTACAATCACTATGTCACACACACATTATAAAGGTAACTCTCAATTCACTAATCCATATGCTCCACGTTCTCAATTTCTTTTCAAGCACTAATTTAATGACAGATGATACAGATTTTACGTTTTGAAACAGAAAAAATTATCCATTTTTGCAAGCAAAAATTAATATTAAAGACAATCTTTCATAGTAATATAGTCAATGCACTGGATCCCTAGCTGTTTTAAAACACACACACACACACACACACACACACACACACACACACTGTGATGCCATTTCTTTGGTTCTTAAGTGATGTTTATCTGCTCACTTACTAAGTCAATTAATTCAATCATCTGGTTACAATGGGATAAATTATCCAGGTTCATTATGTGAATGCAGAGTTTCACCTACATATGTGTATGTTGCTACTTAAAAAGATCACTCCACTCCTCAGAGAGCTCCTTTAAGATAGAACTTCCTTCTTATAGAACCACTCCAGGTAGTGTGAGGTAATAGTGCCCTGTCCCTAATGGACACACAATGAATATCAAAGTGATTCTGGGTTCTGAAAGGCTGTTCCAGCAGATTTGCAAATTCTTACAGGTTCAAACAAGCTGGTAATCAGTCTAGACTCAGTGTGCCTGCTTTCTGAGAAGTAGACTTGCTAAGAAAAAAAGTAATCACCACAAGAAAGTTGACCATCAGATTTCATCTCCTGTCTCATTTTCCAGCCATGGCAAGACATGAAATATAAGGTGGTACAACATATGAAATATAAGGCGGTACAGTCTGCATCAGTGGACAGAAATTATTTTCACAACTCTACGAGGTAGACAAAGTATTACTGTGCTTATTTTACAGAAGAAGAAATTGAGGCTGAGTGAATAAGTGACTCACCCAAGATCATGTAGTTCAACAGAACCAGAACTCCAAGACAAATGCCCTTTCTCCTTTGTTCCAGCTTCCCCTTATAAATGAGGATGATAAATCATGACTCCCATCTCCTACGTATTATTATATTAGCAATTTTTATGCCCAGGCAGGAATTTCTAAGCAGCCAAAAAGATCCCACACCCACATCGGGGACTCTGCCATTAGCCCTTTCTTCTTCCCTCTTCCCTACCATCAATAACTTCCACATCCAAAGATCTCAAGGATTTGGAAAACTAAAAAGTAGGATCCCCTTCACAAAAAGTCTGGGGCCTCTTCCCTAAGAACTCTAAGTGATTCATGCTACCAACTTCAAATGAAAGCCATTCTGAAACAGCAATAGAAATATATTTCAATTTCATCTCTTGTTCATTCTCTCAAAGAGGCAATAATATACAATAAAATAGTTCAAAGGACCAAAGGAAAAAGCAAAAAACTAACAGCCACAAACTGAACAAGCAGCTGATGAAACACTGAAGGTGGATACATTTTCATTTGACTAATTCTTGATGTCACAATGCCTAAAAGAGGGAGAGGGATAATGTTCATCAAAGTCCTTCAGAAGTTACACCAATGGAAAAACTCACCTTCAGTCTCTTCAGCAACCACTGCATGAGGCCCTGTTGAGCAGCTTCTGTGCACATTTCTGGTCGGAACTCAGCCATATTTTCTACAATAGCTGAAGGAAGAGAAGAAACCATTAACATGCAAAAGTAATTCTGCTTTTACTAGTAAGTACACTAATTCACTGTAATGTTCATGTCTTTCTTTCTCTAGTTCCCTACACTCCGCCCTGATCGTCAGATGCTATAGGTATTTTTACCTGATCCATGGTATTTTTAAGGGTTTTTTTTTACTTTTTTTTAAAACAAGCTACATTTGTAGACAAACATCACACAACTAGAAGTAATGTAAGTCAAAAGAAATTATGTAGTACATGGCAAGGGGGGGAAGGGGGGAGGAGGACTGTGCTAACAGAGCATGGCCTTAGTTCAGAAAATACAAAATGAAGGACAATTGTCCTAAGAATCTCCTCACTTCGATGTGCCCAATTCAAGATCTTCAGTATAATACCGGGCCATCAGGAACTATGAAGTAGTCAAGAGTAAGAGTCTAAGAGTAGATAACAAAGCCTTTCCCTCACCTGTCTAATTGGTACCTTTCACATTCCCTTTCTTTGCATCATTAAGAAACATGATCACGTTAAAGGAAAATATAATCTTCCTCACTAACAATTTTTGCACAAGGGGAAGGAAAATAGTCAGCTGAGGGGAATATCAGGCACACAATTGTAAATATTAATAGGCTTGTTATCTCTAAAGTACCACTTAAAAATTCTTATTTTAAAATATTTATCTGATGGGCATCTGAAAAGACCACTGAGGCAGTCACCTACTTCTTCTACCATCTTCCTAAATCCTTCATACCTACCTGCCAGAAATTAAACTATGGAAGAGCAAAAACAGGTAAAAGTAAAGTCTGGGGTTTGGAGGGGGAGGACAGTGGGTTGGGGAGTGGAGGAAGCTTTGAGTTATAAGAGAGAAGTAAGAGAAGACTAAGAAAATTCATTCAATCACTAGTGTGTAACCTTTGGCCAAATTACTTCAGATAATTCCCATATCTCTCATGTGAGATGCAGGAGGATTCCAGCCATGGCTTCCCCAGTCAGGGAAGGGGGTATGTCACTCCCAAAAGCACTTGATGCTGGTTTTTCTGTTTTCTCCTCTTTTCTCATCGAATGGAAAAGAAAAATCAATCCATTAAGTCACATTTTCCATGTCTTTAAGGTTTCATCTTTTGTTATGCAAACACTTTGTCACTGCTTTCACTATTTCTGTAGAAACTCACTTTATTTCCAGTAAATCTGCTTTGGCCAAAATTTTAATATGTCATTTCAGATTAAATTCTCAGGAAAGTAGAGCTAACAAGCAACCAAAAAAGATCATCTAATCCAATTATCTTACTTTACAGATGAGGAAACTAAGGCCCAAAAAGGAGAAGTGACTTGCCCAAGGCTAGCAAGTAACAGAACTGGGACTAGAACCCATAGGTTTTGACTACCAACAAAACTGCTCTTTACACAGGGCCCACCAATTCTTACTGCCAGGATCATTTTAGGGTTGCTATCCTGGTAAAATTCTCCAGCAGAAAATGGCAAAACAAAAAATTAATTCTGACTAGAAATAACTACAATAGACCCCTGCATTTCTATATTGTAATACTCCCCTTTCACTTACTCTCACAACTCTGCAACTTCCTTATAATAATCCTTACCGACAGATCCTGAAACTATGAGAGAAATTAGTTACAAGCAAAGAGAAGGGAAATAAAAACCTAATTTCATCAAAATTTCTACTTCTCTAGGGTCTCATTCATTTCTCAGGCTCTGGTTATGGGTCATCTTTGTTTTTATAAGACAAACTGTAGTGATCAAGAGGAATACTTGAAAACACTGTCTTAAGTAAGCTTTAGTTTCAACATCTTTGCAAGAAGGAAGGATGGGAGAAATTCAAGGAAAATGAGGACATATACTGCAAAGGAATCTCCTTAAATGAACACAAAAGAAATAGGCAGACAAGTTAAAAGCAGTATTTCAATTCCAAGTTTGTGCAATAAACTATACATAAAGAAAGAAACACTGAAGATTTTCTAAATAAAATGCCCTATAAAGGAGCATAATTGCTCAAAAGTTTGCCGTTCTAGTGCAGGAGAATCAGAAGGAAAACTAATGTATTAAGGGAATAAAATCACAAAATGAATACTTTCCAAATCCCAAAATGTCACCCAGCAGAGTCCTTCCATCAAAATTGGAGTTTTCCTGGAGCAGGTCTACTAAAAGGAATCTATTATTTCAGTCTAGGAAGGTTACCTATTTAGTGGATTTCTGCTTTATTACCTCCAAGCTGAATCCAAGCTGCAGTTATATGAAATTTACACAAGGGCCTTTATTTCTGAAGAGGCAGTTTGGGAGCAGGAGGAAAAAACATCCGGCTGTTGACTCTATTATAGAGAAAACAAACAAAGCAAAAAGATAATATGTGTGCATCCCCTTACCCAGCGTGTTATGGACTCCATCCGCCTCTTCTTTCACAGATTCATCTAGTCGCTCTAAATTCTGAACAAGCAAAGCTGCCACCTGACCATCCACCTGCAAGATCCATAAAGAAAGCAAAACAGACAAGATGGAAAAGACTCTGAAAAGACCCCCAAATGGACTACCATCTCTCCTTTGCCATTCCCCATCTAACCTAGATGAATCCCTTCCCCATTCCTACACTCCTGTACTCTTCCCCAAGAAGAAACCTCAGGAAATAGAAAAAACAAAGATGACAGAATTAGAGCTGGAAGGAACTTCAGAGATTACCAAACAGATTTACAGCAGGGCTGGGAAGGAACCTTGACGCTACACAGTCAAACCCCCTCATTTTGCAGATGAGAAAACTAAGACCCAGTTAAGGTTAAGTGACATGCCCAGGAGGGGAACGTGAACCCAGATTCTCTTTAATTCTTTCTAATACACCAGGCTGCCTTCTCAACAGAAAGAGAATGTTCTGGAAAGGGTAGAGAACGGAGAGCCATGCAACCTGGGTAAGTCATCATCCTGTCGCTAACTAGGAGACAAAACCCTGAACAAGTCATTTCTCTTTTCTCGATCTGTTTAACTATCTGTAAAATGAGGGTGTTGGACAAGATGATATTCAAGATCCTTTCTTGCTCTGACATTCTTCAAATTATTATATTTTACTACTTGGCATCATAAATTATTATGGTACTTAAGAAGATAAGAAATCTTACATAGGGTCACCTCAACCATCCAATTGGTCCACCGTTGTCTCTCTGGTAGTAATGCCAAAAGTGGGTCTTCTCCAAACACTGACCTTAAGAGCCTAGGTTCGTAGTAGGAAACATTCCTAACTTCTATAACTTAATCAGAATCTAATATGTAAATCCTTCTTGAGCTTAATTGTATTTTAAGAGTCCCTTTCATTTGTCTGTTGAACATGGAGCATATGACTTAGTGAATTGAACTTTTTGTATTTGGCAAACTACTTTCACATCTGTTGTCATATTTCACTCTCAAAACGACCCTTCCACATGGGTAGGAGAGAAGGCATGGTATTATCCTCACTTTACAGAAAAGGAAACTGTGGCTCAGACAGGTAAAGTCACAGATCATTAAGCCATACAGCTAATTAATTTAGAGTTGAGACAAGAATGAAGTTTTAATTTCTAGTGCAATGTTTTCCCCCTATACCAGGATGCCTGCCTCCCCTATTCAAGCTCTCCCTGACTCAGCAAAACTGCCATTTACCACACTTGATAGAGAAACAAATGATAGCTATTTAACCAGCCAATTTTCCAGTCTATCAGTTCCCAGGGGCTGTAGTGCTTAGACTGTAAGCTCCTTGTGTGCAGGGTCCTTGTATTTTATGTTCCCAAAGATACAAATAGCTTACAGTACTTTGCACCTTATATGATTAGGTGCTTACTGATATTTGCTGAATTGAATTGATTCACGTTTGTTGGTGACTTCCATATTCCAGAATTTGCTGGGGGGGGGGGCTTAAATTAGTTAATTTTGCTATTTCTTAGAAGTTAAGGAAGAATACATATAAAAGAAGTTGAAACTACTGATAAATATTACTGGTAAATGAGTGAATTTTATCTTTAGTTTCACTTTTTCCCATGTGGCAGATAACACTCAAACAAGTGTTTAATGAATGCTCAAACACAAAAAGAAAGATTTAGAGCTGCAAGGCACACTTCATAGGTCATCTAATGCAAACCCTTCATTTTAGAGATAAGCAAACAGGATCAGAAATGTTAAGTGACTTGCCAAAGATCACCAAGGTAATAAAAAGAATAATGGAGATTCAAACCCAGGTTCCTTTTGACCCTACCTACAATGCTCATTCCACTACTTATCTGGGTGGTTTCCACCTATGAACGAGGATATTAGCAGGCCTGCTCTCAAATCTTTTCTTTAACAGCTTCACTATGCAAACCCAGCATAAAGCTTTTCTTAATGAATTGGACAGTTTGGGTATATGAGGTGAGACAAAACAGAAAAACTTTGGGAGGAGGAAGAAAAGGAGGAGAATGAACGATATCAGATGTTTTCCCCCCAAAATCACCCTGATTGACTTATAATCTCCCTGAATTCTGAGGTAGCAAACACTTGAGCTCCAGTAGGTATCACTCACTTGTCAGTTCTATAAGTCGCCTCACTAATTTCAATTGCTCATTGCTCATTTTATCTACATATTTTTCCTCCCTCTTGATTCTTAGTTATGTCTTCCATCTCCACCGTCTAAAAAGTGGCAGTGACAGTGACTGTGAAGGATACACAAAAATCTAAGAGCTGCGCTGTTATATGTATGATGGGAGTCACACAGGAGAAAAATCTTATTTCTTGTTATAAAAATAGAACTTTTAAGAGTGTGCTTTTCTGCACTTGCATTATGTAAAATTTTATGTTTCATTGGGTTAAATTCAATTTTACCTGATTGCACTGGGAGGAAAGGAAAGTCAAAATGCATTTAGCTCAAAAGAACCCTTGGAAAAATAATTGTTCTAGGTATAGCCCTATAAATCTGCTGGTAAGCAGCACAAATTGGCATTCTATCCTACTCCTTTAACCCCTCCTGTCTACCTTCACCCCTATTTTCAGGGACTGTGGCTAAGTCTGATACTAAAAAACAAATCAGGCCTGGGAACCATATCACAAAGAAGAAAGTAATTCTGGTTTGCAAAATCAGGTTGAATTCAGTCACAGGGTGTTCTAATAAGTTTACTGGTTATCTCCACTTGTTAACAGGTCTTCAAAATGACACTCCAGCAGCCTCCAATGAGACAAGAACACAGACAGATGACCTTTTTTATTTGTCCAAAAAGGGTGAGGAGATAAGAAGAAGAAAAAGAAGGTGGAAGGGCTTTGTAAGAAGCATGGATGACCTACCAATGAGCTTTTCTCACCTTCTCTTTCCTGTCTAGACCAAGGAACAGCAAATTCTGGAGTCATGAAGGCTAGAATCATACAATGAAAGAGCTAGAAAGGGCACTTCAAAGGCCAATGCTCAGATTTCTGAAAATAAAGAAACTAAGCCCAAAGAGGGAAAAACCTCTTGCTCAAGGTTACAAAGCAATCTATGAAGGTTTTTTTGTTTTGTTTTGTTTTTTTGGTTAGGCAATGGGGTTAAGTGACTTGCCCAGAGTCACACACAGCTAGTAAGTGTTATGTGTCTAAGGCCAGATTTGAACTCAGGTCCTCCTGGGTCTAGGGCTGGTGCTCTATCCCCTGTGCCACCTAGCTGCCCCTTATGAAGTTTTTAAAAATTAGAATCTTGAGCAACAGTATAATTTAAAATATACCCATGTTTATATTAATTTGTAGCCAGTTAGAAATGTTAAGACAAAGAGGCTATCTGAAATAATAAACAAATAAACAGATAGATAAATCACTCACTAGCAGCATCAGAGACAAAGGTAGTAGAGGTTCTAAGAAAATCTTTTATTTTTATAATATTCCTTATTCTTTTCCAGGAAAACAAATGTAATATACATCTCCTGGCTATGAGAAGAAATATTTGTATCTCTTTGCTTCCAGAAACGGCTTTAGATTTCATCTGGAATCAATGTAAGGCCATGGAGGGAAGCTGATCAAGTCACTTTACCTCTCTTTACCTCAGTTTCCCCATAAGGGTATTGGTACAGGCAACTTCTAAGTTTTCTTTAGGCTCTAAGTATATGATCCCATGCACTTTTAAATACAAAAGGAATTGGATTCAGAACAATGTCCTCACACAGTCTAAATATGTGGGAAAATTCAATACTATCACAAAAATACCTAAATCTACTAACATGGGCAGCTAGGTGGCACATGGATAGAGCACTAACCCTGTAGTCAGGAGGACCTGAGTTCAAATTTGACCTCAGACACATGATCCTCACTAGCTGTGTGACCCTGGGCAAGTCACTTAACCCCAATTGCCTCGCAAAAAACAAATACACCTAAATACTAATATGAGAGGTAGTGAGGTATAATAAATAAAGCACTGCACACATAATCAAGAAAACATGTTCAATGAGCACGACTTGGATTTGTCTGTGTGACTACAAGCAAGTCATTTAAGCTCCCTTTCCTCATCTGTAAATTGAGGCTAATAATACTTACATCACCTTCCTTCACAGGTTGTGAAAGAAGCATTTTACATTCCTTAAAGCAAAATAATAACAACAGCAGTAGCAGTGTCAGTTAATTAAAAAAATGCAGGGGTTAGACTGAATGATCCTTTTCAGCTATAACAATTTATAGGTTTATAAATATTTTTTCACTGACTGAATGAATGAATGAATCAATGAAAGACTAACAACTTGTAAAATGTCTCTACAAAGCACTGGTAAGTTTCCAAAACACTAGGTTTCCTCAGAACAATCTGAAAAAAAATCACTGACATGGATAGGAATTTCTCATATTTTTTTTTCTTATTTAGGAACTTATGGGTACCTTACATTGTTGCTAAGTGTTGGAGAAGTCTTCACAGAATTAGAATGTTGAAAGACGCCTCCAAGACCATCTATTTCAACCTATACCTGAGTTAAGAACTGCCTCTACAAATTCCTGACAAGCACTCATCCAGCATTTCCCTGAAAGACTTACAATATTGGGGAACCCACCATCTACCACAGAAGCAAATTTCACTTCTGGATAACTAATTTTTTTTTGCAAGTTTTTCCTTATAGTCAAACTCTGCCTCTTTACAGCTTCCATCCATTAGTTGTCTTCAGGCACAAAGCAGAACAAGTCTAATCTCTTTCACCCATGGTAGCCCTGCAAATATCTAAAGATGGCTATTTAATTTTGCTTTCGTGTAACCAAGATAAAACACTAAAGGAACCCTGAGAATGCCAATACTGCACTCTTCCCCCCAACAGGGCTTTTCTATAGCTTATAATTTCCAACTGGGGAAAAGATAGAGGCAATAACTACAAACTGCATCTCACAATAAATTCTACCAGATGCCCTCTAGCTGCTATTCATGCCATTTCATGACTTTGATATTGGCCCCCAAATTAAACCTACAAAGAAATCAATGTCTTTTCAATATTAAGAATTCTTATAAAAGTTTCCTAATAAAGAATAAAAACGGGGATACAAAAATATATTTAAATCTACCTTTCCCTAACTCCCTAGTATTTACCAAGTGTTTTCCACTGGTACAGACAAGCAAATAATCTATCCTAATTCTGAAATTTTCAACTGCTTGTGATACATATAAATCCCACTGGAATAAAGAGATTAGTGCCAAAATCTTAAAAATAATAATAATAAAAATTAAAAATTAAAAGCTCCTAAGCAGGAGCTACCTAATGACTCCCCAGGCTGTAGATGAACTGTGTTCTTTCTAAGTGAACAATAAAATCTGCAGAATCCAGCTTTTGTTAGTGGTTTTGGCAACATGGAAAACAGAAAAGGAGCTTTTATTCAAATGGCTGTTTCCAGGTCCATTTTTACAAGCAGCAGGCGGGCTACCTGCTCCTTTCTCCTCAATCCTTTTCATGCAACAACCGTCTAGGCAAAGGATGGTAATTAAAAACAGCATAGGGACTACACAGGAAGATGCATTCAGGGCCACCGCAATTAACCTTTGGAAGGTAAGCCTGTGTGGATGACACCACAGGGATTTGATGGAAAAGCAAGTGCAGCTGCCTTCCCCCAACACCCCTCCAAACAAAAGCCCATCTGATTTCTTTTCTCTCAACACAATCATTCCAAAGCCCAATAAAAAAAAAAAAACAACCCTGTGTTCTACAAACGTGGCCAGTCACTCCAGGAAGCGGCTAGAAAGAAAAATGGCCACAGGAATTTTCATCATACTCAATTGTTATTGGCTCTGCTGGACACCTCTTTCTATGTAAGATACAGTTCTTCATATCCACTCAGTTCATGACCCTTCTACTCATTCCAAATACCAGGAACCAGAGTGCATGGGAAAAGTCTAATACAAAGAGCAGAAGAGAAACGGATTAAGTCAGTGAAGCTGATACTGTATCTGCTCACTAAGATAAGGACCTCAACCAAATCACTATTAATTGGAAGTTTCTAGAAAAAGACTAACCAGGAAAACCTACAGAAGAGAAAAAAACATCATGCCAGGAGTCAAGGGACCTGAATCCTGATATCTTTACCACTAACCAGCTGTGTGACCCTACTCAAATTACTTAACCTCTGACTTTCAGCTTCTCCATCTGCAAAACAATCATATATTAAGAGCCAGAAGGAACCTTAGAGTTCAGCAGGTCCAATTCCCTCATTTTTCAGATAAGGCTTAGGGAGGCTGAGGGCCTTGCCCTAGGTCATCCAATGGAATTATGAGAATGGGAACTGAAGTCCTTTGACTTTAAATCCCTTACCTTACATGGTGCCATGAGAAGAATGATGTTAGAATTACAAGGGAATTTAGTGATAATTTAGTCCAATATCTTCCTTTTACAATGAGGGAAAGTAAATTCTAGAGGCCTTGACTTGTCTAAGATTGAATGAGAAAACACATAAGTCCCTGCATGGCAAAGTGCTAGCAATCTCAATAATTTGTATTTGCATTCTCTTGATATTTAGTAAAGCAGAGGTGTCAAACACATAACCTACTTCTCAGTAACACCAAAACCAAATTAAAACGTAATTGGGAAATTTTTAACAAAATAAATACAAATACAATAAAACACAGATAATGTTAATATGTGGTTTTCTAAGTCAATATGCTCCTTTAGGATCCTTATGGATGGTTTAGTGGCCCCTGTTATCATTCAGTTTGACACCATTGTAACAGAGGATACTCTCAAGTTCAGTCTTGATAACCAGCTTATTTCCAAAGGATAGCACCCCCCATATGATGACACAATGGATTCAATGTACACAGTCTGGTGTCCCTCAATTTGAGAACTGATCCACTCTAAAACCCCTTTGTTCTGGAAACAAGATTTCTACTAAAATAGTCCTAGATTTCTGCATTAACCCAAAGTTGAGTCACCTTGAGCTTGAAGTCAGTTTAAGCCCCCAATTTAAACCCTCATCACTAACTGATTAAGATGGCAGTAATAGTTACCAACTCATAAAGAATGAAAGGAATTCCAAGGTAGTGAATATGCAACTTACCAGAGCATCAATGAGCACCTCCGCTCCCTCTTCACTCTCATGGAGTGTATCAATATCTGTTAATTCCTGCAGCAAATCAACCACAGCTATAGACACATGTGAAAAATGTTAAGGGCATTAACTACATATGGAAATCCTACAGACATTTTATTTTCAAAAATCTGGTTCCCTTCTGTATTTCTAGTTAATCGCTTCATCACCATCTTCAACGCTACTCTGCCCACAGTGGGTGTTCAATAAATGTTAAATGACAGACTCATTTTCTTCCTTTACATCACCTTCCTTAGTAAGTTAATCCATATGTTCACTACACCTTCATAAATTTCATAACTTCAAATAAATCAGCCAGAAGTCTCTTTTCTGAGTGATCTGAGAAACAGGCCAACACCCTTAACCTTAGCCCATAATTTAAATTCTTGAAACTCAGTATAATCTTAACTACTCCGTACAGGTCGCCTTCAAAGGCAGTAATGATTTCTGTGATGTGATGCCTGGTGCTTCCAAAGTATTTCACTGAACAGCATAAGATAGAATGGATTTAAGTTAGGCTAGGATAAGGAAAAAAATCATTGGAACCCTTCTCCCCACCCTACCAGTCCTGGTTATAACAACATTCCCTCCTTACCCACCCTCCTCCAACATACCACTTTGAATTAAAGAGAATTGGACTAATAAGAAGGAGTAGGGAAAAGTAGGGAAGAAAGAGAAAAAACACAATCTCAACTTTCTCAGAAATTGAGATATATGGCTAAAGCCATCAAAGTAGAAAAAGCACTACTCCCCTCTTGCCCAAACTCAAATCAACAAATTTTTACTGAACACATATCATATGCAAGGAATTATAGTACTATGTGTAGGGGGGAAAAAAAAGCAGAGAGAGCCTCAAAAAGTATATAATTTAGTTGGAGACAACTAACCAAATAAGCAAGCATGTATTTATAGTTAGCATGGCAGGTAAAGTGTTGGGCCCAGAGTCAGGAAGACTTCAGTTCAAATTCTGACTCTGACAATTCCTAGTTATGTGACCCCTAGACAAGTCTCTTGACTTTTCTCAGCCTCAGTTTCTTTGACTGTAAAATATGGATAACAGCATCTTCCTCCCAGGGTCGTTAGGATTAAATAAGATAACAAGTAAAGCTCATTGCAAACCTTAAAAAAAGTACTATATAAATGCTAGTTGTAAGTACCCACTCTCTGTGCCAGGCACTGGGACCAGGAATACAAAGGAAAAAAGCAACAACACTCATTGATCTGGAAGAGCTAATTTTCAAAATGGAGAAACAACATGTACATAAATAAGTAAATACAATGTAACATGAGAGAGGAAGACACTAGCAGCTGAGGGACTAGGAAAGGCCACTTGTACAGGCTAACATTTGAGCTGAGCCTTAATGAAAGCCCGGGATTCTAAGAGGGAGTGACGAGGAAAGACAGCACTCAGAGCATGGAGTACAGCTGGGAAGTTTGGAAGAGGGGTGGATTTAGGGAAAGGTAATAAATTATATTTTTAGGCATGCTGAGTTTAAGATGCCTATGGGACCATCTAGTTTGAAATGTCCAAAAGACAACTGGTAACATGGAACTGAAACTCAGCCGAGAGACTAGAGATGAACATACAACATCTGGGGGTCATGTGCACAGAGATGATAACTGAACCCAGAGTAGCAGATGAGATCAATGAGAGATAATGGAGAGGAAGGAAGAGGGTGCAGGATAATAAGAAACAACCACAGTTAGGAGGTGTGACATGGATGAAGATGCAGCAAAAGAGTCAGAGAGAGAAAACTCTAACAATTAAGAGAACTAAGGGAAAGCAGTGTCATGAAAACCCAGAGAAGAAAGTATCCCGAAACTGATCAACAGTATCAAATGAAGCAGAGGACAAAAAGGATGAGGATCAAGAAAAGATCAAAAAATTTTCAATTAAGAGATCATGACATCATACATCTCTTGAGCTAGAAAGGACCATCGAGTCCAATCCCTTCATTTTACAGGTGAAGAAACTCAAGGATGTTAAGTGACTTGTCCTGGGTCACATAGCTAATGTCTAAAGAAGGATCTGAACCCAGGTCTTCCTAATAGCAAGTCCAGTTCCCTAAGGAAAGTAGGTGTATAGAGCCTGGAGAAGTTTTTCTTTCTTTTTAGTTTCTGACTGGACCTGTAATTTCATCAGTACAGGGAGCTCCCAAGCAAGAAACATCCTTTACGGCACTACTCTGAAACTTAATAGTCTGAGAGAGTTGCCTGATGCACTGAAAGGCTGACCAACTCACTCAGCATCATACAGTTGTTGAGTCAGAGATAGAACCCAAATCCAAGTCTTTCTGATTCTTAATCCATTATGCTTCTACCTCTTGTAAAAGACTTAAAGGGGAAAGAATTACTGTCTTCAAGTAATAACAGGGTTCTTTTGTGAAGGAGATATTAAACTTATTCCGCCTGGCCCAAAAGGATCGATAGGTAGAAGTCACAAAGAGGCAAATTTAGGTTTTAAATAAAGTAAAATTTGCTAACTAGCTGGAAAGGTAAATTTGGATCAAGTCATAAAGGACCATGAATGAAAGGCTAAAGAGACTTACCTTTATGTTGTAAGTAATGGGGAGCTATTGAATGTTTCCAACTAAGAAGAAGCAAAATGAAGTTACATTTTATAAAGATTAATCTGAGAGTGGCATGGGTGATGAATTGGATGGAAAAGAGAACAAAGGCAGAGAGGCTAATTAGAACACTAACATCTCTAGGCATGAAGTGAACTAAAGTCAAAGTAGAAAAGAAAATAGAAGAGACAGAAGTCACAGATGATATGAAGGTAAAATCAAGAGGTGACTAATGAAGTTCCAGGCATTCCCAAATGCCTTACACTAAAATACATACATAAATTTATTCGGTTATGGTTTTCTTTCTGGACCTACGAATGACCAGCTGTCCAAAGTGGGTAAGTTCCTAGACTGCGTTCCTTTGTTCCTGTTCCACAGGAAAAGATGGGTCAATGGTATTTCCCTGAAACACAGGGAAATTCAAACTACTTAATGCATGAAAAGAGCTTTAAGATCTTAGTATGAAATCTCTTTCAAGCTTGTGGTTCTTATCAGAAAAGTAATCAAAAGGCTGCTAACACAGAGGATAATCAGTCGTACCCGACATGTTGTAAACTACAATACATAAGTTACTTGAGTCACTTACAAATGGGTCACGTAACCCTGAAATTAAGGGCAACTCCTGAATAAAAAGTGAGCATGTGTAATTCTTCCTCTCTAAGATTCAAATTATTGATAGAAAGGGGGAGTATTGGGAAGGCTTAAATTAGACCAGATCCAGACAAATAGTAGCTATATAGACTCTACCATGACTCTGAACCGACACTTATTTCCAATATAAACTATTAGACTTCCAAGGGGAAAAGTGAGAGTTAATGTTTCCCTTTACCCCACTTAAGTCTGTGGAACTCCCGCAAACTAACACACACACACGATGGATGTACACACACATATGTGTATGTGTGTGTATATGCTTTACTATACATAAATGTACTTCTTTAATTTTTCCATGTCTAGTATATTTTTATATGCTTGTTTATGTCTGACTTTCAGCCATGGAGTATCACTAGTGCCAAAAAAGATGGATTTTGGCATCTAAGAACACCCTAAGATGATCACAAGTACTGCACAATTTAATAAATGCAACCTAGCCCACTGTCCTCTTATTTATTTTGGGGTCTAAGCCACTGTTCATCTGCTGTGTGTGTTCAAAATACATGTACTCAAAAGACCAGCATTCAACTGTATAACAGATCTGGTACCCAAGCGTTCTGCAACCACAAAGCTTCTCCTGTGTCAGTCGTTACACTAAACTCTTTAGACAGATTACAGAGAGCATTTAGAAGGTTCTGCAGTACTTCAGGACTTGATGAAATTGAGCACAATATCATTTATACACAGCTACCCAGAATGAAGAAAGAAAGCAGGCAGGATTGCATTTGAGACACAATGCAGCTTTTAATTACCCAAGCTTCTCAATGAAACAAAGATCTATCAACTGAACAAAAACATTTTTTTTGTTTTTGTTTTTTTGCTTAGGCAATCAGGGTTAAGTGACTTGCCCGCGGTCACACAGCTAGTAAATGTCAAGTGTCTGAGGCCAGATTTGAACCCAGGCCCTCCTGACTCCAAGGTCAAAGCTCTATCCACTGAGCAACCCAGCCGCCCCTAACAACATTCTTTTAATGATGCTATCATCATACATCACAGTCGATGTATCAATCAACAAGTATTTATTCAGTGCTAGGCACTAGTTGTTGGGGATAGAATACAAAGAAAGAACAATCCCTAACTCTCAAAAAGCTTATACTCTAACATGGAAGATAACCTGTGTGTATACTGACATAGATATAGATCCATGTATATACATATATATGCAAACTAAATATAGAGAGAATAAATACAAATAAATACTAGGTAGTTAGATACAATAGATTGGGAGAAAGGGCACTAGCAGTTTGCACGATGTGGAGGGTCATCAGGAAAAGTATTGGTTAGAAGTTGCCCTTGAGCTATGTAAGAAGGAAAAGATGATTCATTCCATGAGATGGAAGTAAGGAGTGAGTATATTCTAGGTATAGGAGATAGCCAGAGAAAGGGCAATGAGATGAGAGGTGCTAAGTCATATTTTAAAAGGGGAAAGTGGGAATAATGTAAAATAAGGCAGAGGAAGGAAATAATGAACTCTGTTTCAGACATATTAAGTCTAAGAAGTTTCCAGGGTATCCAGTCTGAAATGTCCACTAGGCAACTAGTAATATGAGAATGAAACTAAGAGGACAGTGGGGCTAGTTCTATAGACCTGGGAGTCTATTCATGAAGGTGATAATTAAAACCAAGTAAGGTTATACAATCACTGAAAGTGTAGAGAGAGAAGAGTGCTCAGGCCAGAGCCTTGAGTAACACCTACAATTAATGCTTGTAATATGAATGATTAGCAAATAAAGGAGATGAGAAGAAGCTATGAGAGTGGCTAATATGACAAAAAAGGAAAATAATAAATGTTGGAGGGGATGTAGGAAAACTGGGACACTAATGCATTATTGGTAGAGTTGTGAACC